TCTACCACTATCTCTGTGTGTATATCTCTACCACTATCTCTGTGTGTATATCTCTACCACTATCTCTCTATGTGTATATCTCTACCACTATCTCTGTGTGTATATCTCTACCACTATCTCTGTGTGCATATCTCTACCACTATCTCTGTGTGTATATCTCTACCACTATCTCTCTGTGTGTATATCTCTACCACTATCTCTGTGTGTATATCTCTACCACTATCTCTCTGTGTGTATATCTCTACCACTATCTCTGTGTGTATATCTCTACCACTATCTCTCTGTGTGTATATCTCTACCACTATCTCTGTGTGTATATCTCTACCACTATCTCTCTGTGTGTATATCTCTACCACTATCTCTCTGTGTGTATATCTCTACCATTATCTCTCTGTGTGTAATCTCTACCACTATCTCTCTGTGTGTATATCTCTACCACTATCTCTCTGTGTGTATATCTCTACCACTATCTCTCTGTGTGTATATCTCTACCACTATCTCTCTGTGTGTATATCTCTACCACTATCTATGTGTGTATATCTCTACCACTATCTCTGTGTGTATATCTCTACACTATCTCTCTGTGTGTATATCTCTACCACTATCTCTCTGTGTGTATATCTCTACCACTATCTCTGTGTGTATATCTCTACCACTATCTCTGTGTATATCTCTACCACTATATCTGTGTGTATATCTCTACCACTATCTCTGTGTGTATATCTCTACCACTATCTATGTGTGTATATCTCTACCACTATCTCTGTGTATATCTCTACCACTATCTATGTGTATATATCTCTACCACTATCTCTCTCTGTGTATATCTCTACCACTATCTCTGTGTGTATATCTCTACCACTATCTCTGTGTATATCTCTACCACTATCTATGTGTGTATATCTCTACCACTATCTCTGTGTGTATATCTCTACCACTATCTCTCTGTGTGTATATCTCTACCACTATCTCTCTGTGTGTATATCTCTACCATCTATCTCTCTGTGTGTATATCTCTACCACTATCTCTGTGTGTATATCTCTACCACTATCTCTGTGTGTATATCTCTACCACTATCTCTGTGTGTATATCTCTACCACTATCTATGTGTGTATATCTCTACCACTATCTCTGTGTATATCTCTAACTATCTCTGTGTATATATCTCTACCACTATCTCTCTGTGTGTATATCTCTACCACTATCTCTGTGTGTATATCTCTACCACTATCTCTGTGTGTATATCTCTACCACTATCTCTGTGTGTATATCTCTACCACTATCTCTCTGTGTGTATATCTCTACCACTATCTCTGTGTGTATATCTCTACCACTATCTCTGTGTTTATCTCTACCACTATCTCTCTGTGTGTATATCTCTACCACTATCTCTGTGTGTATCATCTCTACCACTATCTATGTGTGTATATCTCTACCACTATCTCTCTGTGGTGTATATCTCTACCCACTATCTCTGTGTGTATATCTCTACCCTATCTCTCTGTGTGTATATCTCTACACTATCTCTGTGTGTATATCTCTACCACTATCTCTCTGTGTGTATATCTCTACCACTATCTCTGTGTGTATATCTCTACCACTATCTCTGTGTGTATATCTCTACCACTATCTCTCTGTGTGTATATCTCTACCACTATCTCTGTGTGTATATCTCTACCACTATCTCTGTGTGTATATCTCTACCACTATCTCTCTGTGTGTATATCTCTACCACTATCTCTGTGTGTATATCTCTACCACTATCTCTGTGTGTATATCTCTACCACTATCTCTCTGTGTGTATATCTCTACACTATCTCTGTGGTGTATTCTCTACCACTATCTCTGTGTGTATATCTCTACCACTATCTCTCTATGTGTATATCTCTACCACTATCTCTGTGTGTATATCTCTACCACTATCTCTGTGTGCATATCTCTACCACTATCTCTGTGTGTATATCTCTACCACTATCTCTCTGTATGTATATCTATACCACTATCTCTGTGTGTATATCTCTACCACGATCTCTCGTGTGTATAGCTCTACCACTATCTCTGTGTGTATATCTCTACCACTATCTCTCTGTGTGTATATCTCTACCACTATCTCTTGTGTGTATATCTCTACCACTATCTCTCTGTGTGTATATCTCTACCACTATCTCTCTGTGTGTATATCTCTACCATTATCTCTCTGTGTGTATATCTCTACCACTATCTCTCTGTGTGTATATCTCTACCACTATCTCTCTGTGTGTATATCTCTACCACTATCTCTCTGTGTGTATATCTCTACCACTATCTCTCTGTGTGTATATCTCTACCACTATCTATGTGTGTATATCTCTACCACTATCTCTGTGTGTATATCTCTACCACTATCTCTCTGTGTGTATATCTCTACCACTATCTCTCTGTGTGTATATCTCTACCACTATCTCTGTGTGTATATCTCTACCACTATCTCTGTGTATATCTCTACCACTATATCTGTGTGTATATCTCTACCACTATCTCTGTGTGTATATCTCTACCACTATCTATGTGTGTATATCTCTACCACTATCTCTGTGTATATCTCTACCACTATCTATGTGTATATATCTCTACCACTATCTCTCTCTGTGTGTATATCTCTACCACTATCTCTGTGTGTATATCTCTACCCTACTATCTCTGTGTATATCTCTACCACTATCTATGTCGTGTATATCTCTACCACTATCTCTGTGTGTATATCTCTACCACTATCTCTTTGTGTGTATATCTCTACCACTATCTCTCTGTGTGTATATCTCTACCACTATCTCTCTGTGTGTATATCTCTACCACTATCTCTGTGTGTATATCTCTACCACTATCTCTGTGTGTATATCTCTACCACTATCTCTGTGTGTATATCTCTACCACTATCTATGTGTGTATATCTCTACCACTATCTCTGTGTATATCTCTACCACTATCTCTGTGTATATATCTCTACCACTATCTCTCTGTGTGTATATCTCTACCACTATCTCTGTGTGTATATCTCTACCACTATCTCTGTGTGTATATCTCTACCACTATCTCTCTCTGTGTATATCTCTACCACTATCTCTCTGTGTGTATATCTCTACCACTATCTCTCTCTGTGTGTATATCTCTACCACTATCTCTCTGTGTGTATATCTCTACCACTATCTCTCTGTGTGTATATCTCTACCACTATCTCTCTGTGTGTATATCTCTACCACTATCTCTCTGTGTGTATATCTCTACCACTATCTCTCTGTGTGTATATCTCTACCACTATCTCTGTGTGTATATCTCTACCACTATCTGTGTGTATATCTCTACCACTATCTCTCTCTGTGTGTATATCTCTATCACTCTCTCTGTGTGTATATCTCTACCACTATCTGTGTGTATATCTCTACCACTATCTCTCTCTGTGTGTATATCTCTATCACTCTCTCTGTGTATATCTCTACCACTATCTCTATATGTTATTACCTCTACCACTATCTCTCTCTCTCTGTGTGTATATCCGAGCGGTACCTCTGTGTGTGTATATCTCTACCACTATCTATCTGTGTGTATATCTCTACCACTATCTCTCTATGTTATTATCTCTACCACTATCTCTCTCTCTCTGTGTGTGTGTATATCTCTACCACTATCTCTCTATGTTATTATCTCTACCACTATCTCTCTCTCTCTCTGTGTGTGTATATCCGAGCGGTACCTCTGTGTGTGTATATCTCTACCACTATCTCTCTCTATGTATATCTCTACCACTATCTCTCTCTGTGTGTGTATATCCGAGCGGTACCTCTGTGTGTGTATATCTCTACCACTATCTCTCTATGTATATCTCTACCACTATATCTCTATGTTATTATCTCTACCACTATCTCTCTGTGTGTATATCTCTACCACTATCTCTCTCTCTGTGTATATCCGAGCGGTACCTCTGTGTGTGTATATCTCTACCACTATCTCTCTATGTTATTATCTCTACCACTATCTCTCTCTCTGTGTATATCCGAGCGGTACCTCTGTGTGTGTATATCTCTACCACTATCTCTCTATGTTATTATCTCTACCACTATCTCTCTCTGTGTATATCCGAGCGGTACCTCTGTGTGTATATCTCTACCACTATCTCTGTGTGTATATCTCTACCACTATCTCTCTGTGTGTATATCTCTACCACTATCTCTCTCTGTGTGTATATCTCTACCACTATCTCTCTCTCTCTCTCTCTGTGTATATCCGAGCGGTACCTCTGTGTGTGTATATCTCTACCACTATCTCTCTATGTTATTATCTCTACCACTATCTCTGTGTGTATATCTCTACCACTATCTCTCTCTGTGTGTATATCTCTACCACTACCTCTGTGTGTATATCTCTACCACTATTTATGTGTATATCTCTACCACTATCTCTCTCTGTGTGTGTATATCTCTACCACTATCTCTCTATGTATATCTCTACCACTATCTCTCTCTCTCTGTGTATATCCGAGCGGTACCTCTGTGTGTGTATATCTCTACCACTATCTCTCTATGTTATTATCTCTACCACTATCTCTGTGTGTATATCTCTACCACTATCTCTCTCTGTGTGTATATCTCTACCACTACCTCTGTGTGTATATCTCTGCCACTATTTATGTGTATATCTCTACCACTATCTCTCTGTGTGTGTGTATATCTCTACCACTATCTCTCTATGTATATCTCTACCACTATCTCTCTCTCTCTCTGTGTATATCCGAGCGGTACCTCTGTGTGTGTATATCTCTACCACTATCTCTCTATGTATATCTCTACCACTATCTCTACCACTATCTCTCTCTCTGTGTATATCCGAGCGGTACCTCTCTGTGTGTGTATATCTCTACCACTATCTCTCTCTCTGTGTGTATATCTCTACCACTATCTCTCTATCTCTCTCTGTGTGTGTATATCTCTACCACTATCTCTCTCTGTGTATATCCGAGCAGTACCTCTGTGGCTCGGGGCTTTCGAACACCGCCTGGAAGTGGCCGGCGTTGGCTCCGAAATCTGCAGCCAGCGACGAGAATCGGCGGAGCGCTGAGAGGGCCTGGATCTCTCCCCAGGCTTGTTCAGGTAGCCATAGCGGAGCCGGGTTGGGGAGCACAGGGGTGGGAACGGCTCCCCCAGACAGCAGGAACCTCCACTCGTCCTGCAGAGAGACACAGAGAGAGAGAGAGACAGAGAGAGACACACAGAGAGACACAGAGACAGAGACACTGAGACAGAGACAGAGACACTGAGAGAGCCTGGATCTCTCCCCAGGCTCGTTCAGGTAGCCATAGGGGAGCCGGGTTGGGGAGCACAGGGGTGGGAACGGCTCCCCCAGACAGCAGGAACCTCCACTCGTCCTGCAGAGACACACAGAGAGAGAGACACAGAGAGAGACACACAGAGAGAGACTCAGAGAGAGTGACTCAGAGAGAGAGACACTGAGACAGAGACACAGAGAGAGCCTGGATCTCTCCCCAGGCTCGTTCAGGTAGCCATAGCGGAGCCGGGTTGGGGAGCACAGGGGTGGGAACGGCTCCCCCAGACAGCAGGAACCTCCACTCGTCCTGCAGAGAGACACACAGAGAGAGAGAGACACTCAGAGAGACTCAGAGAGAGACTCTGAGAGAGAGACACTCAGAGAGAGAGAGAGAGACAGAGAGACTCAGAGAGAGACTCAGAGAGAGAGAGAGAGACTCAGAGAGAGAGAGACACAGAGACACTGAGACACAGAGAGAGAGACACAGAGAGAGAGACACAGAGAGAGAGACACTGAGACAGAGACACTGAGAGAGCTTGGATCTCTCCCCAGGCTCGTTCAGGTAGCCATAGCGGAGCCGGGTTGTGGAGCACAGGGGTGGGAACGGCTCCCCCAGACAGCAGGAACCTCCACTCGTCCTGCAGAGAGACACACAGAGAGAGAGAGACACTCAGAGAGACTCAGAGAGAGAGAGACACAGAGAGACACAGAGAGAGACTCTGAGAGAGAGACTCAGAGAGAGAGAGAGACTGAGAAAGAGACACAGAGAGAGAGAGACACTGAGAGAGAGACTCAGAGAGAGACTCAGAGAGAGAAAGAGAGACTCAGAGAGAGAGAGAGACTCAGAGAGAGAGAGAGAGAGACTCAGAGAGAGAGACACTGAGAGGGCCTGGATCTCTCCCCAGGCTCGTTCAGGTAGCCATAGCGGAGCCGGGTTGGGGAGCACAGGGGTGGGAACGGCTCCCCCAGACAGCAGGAACCTCCACTCGTCCTGCAGAGAGACACACAGAGAGAGAGAGACTCAGAGAGAGACTCAGAGAGAGAGAGAGACTCTGAGAGAGAGACACTGAGAGAGAGACACTGAGAGAGAGACTCAGAGAGACACTGAGAGAGACTCAGAGAGAGAGAGAGACAGAGAGACACTGAGAGAGACTCTGAGAGAGCGACAGTGAGAGAGAGACTCAGAGAGACACAGAGAGAGACACTGAGAGAGAGACACTGAGACAGAGACACTGAGAGAGAGAGAGAAAGACTCAGAGAGAGAGAGAGAGACAGAGAGAGACTCTGAGAGAGAGACACTCAGAGAGAGAGAGAGACACTCAGAGACAAAGAGAGAGACTCTGAGAGAGAGACACTGAGAAAGAGAGAGAGACTCAGAGAGACACTGAGACAGAGAGAGAGACACTGAGACAGAGACACTGAGAGAGCCTGGATCTCTCCCCAGGCTCGTTCAGGTAGCCATAGCGGAGCTGGGTTGGGGAGCACAGGGGTGGGAACGGCTCCCCCAGACAGTAGGAACCTCCACTCGTCCTGCAGAGACACAGAGAGAGAGACTCAGAGAGAGACTCAGAGAGAGAGACACAGAGACACTGAGACACAGAGACACTGAGACAGAGACAGAGACACTGAGAGAGCCTGGATCTCTCCCCAGGCTCGTTCAGGTAGCCATAGGGGAGCCGGGTTGGGGAGCACAGGGGTGGGAACGGCTCCCCCAGACAGCAGGAACCTCCACTCGTCCTGCAGAGACACACAGAGAGACACTCAGAGAGAGAGAGAGACACTCAGAGACACAGAGAGAGACTCTGAGAGAGAGACACTGAGAAAGAGAGACTCAGAGAGACACTGAGAGAGACTCAGAGAGAGAGAGAGAGACACACAGAGAGACACTGAGAGAGACACTGAGACAAAGAGAGACACAGAGAGAGACTCTGAGAGAGAGACAGTGAGAGAGAGACTCAGAGAGACACTGAGAGAGACACTGAGAGAGAGACACAGAGACAGAGACACTGAGAGAGCCTGGATCTCTCCCCAGGCTCGTTCAGGTAGCCATAGCGGAGCTGGGTTGGGGAGCACAGGGGTGGGAACGGCTCCCCCAGACAGCAGGAACCTCCACTCGTCCTGCAGAGAGACACAGAGAGAGAGACACTCAGAGAGAGACACACAGAGAGAGACTCAGAGAGAGAGACTCAGAGAGAGAGAGAGAAAGACTCAGAGAGAGAGACACTGAGAGAAAGACTCAGAGAGAGAGAGAGACACTCAGAGAGAGACACACAGAGAGACACACGGAGAGAGAGAGACACTCAAGAGAGACTCACAGAGAGAGACTCTGAGAGAGAGAGAGACACAGAGAGAGACACAGAGACAGAGACACTGAGAGAGCCTGGATCTCTCCCCAGGCTCGTTCAGGTAGCCATAGCGGAGCTGGGTTGGGGAGCACAGGGGTGGGAACGGCTCCACCAGACAGCAGGAACCTCCACTCGTCCTGTAGAGAGACACAGAGAGAGAGACACAGAGAGACACACACAGAGAGAGACTCAGAGAGACTCAGAGAGAGAGAGAGAGACTCAGAGAGAGAGAGACACAGAGACACTGAGACACAGAGAGAGAGACACTGAGACAGAGACACTGAGAGAGCCTGGATCTCTCCCCAGGCTCGTTCAGGTAGCCATAGCGGAGCCGGGTTGGGGAGCACAGGGGTGGGAACGGCTCCCCCAGACAGCAGGAACCTCCACTCGTCCTGCAGAGAGACACACAGAGAGAGAGAGACACTCAGAGAGACTCAGAGAGAGAGAGACACAGAGAGACACAGAGAGAGACTCTGAGAGAGAGACTCAGAGAGAGAGAGAGACTGAGAAAGAGACACAGAGAGAGAGAGAGACACTGAGAGAGAGACTCAGAGAGAGACTCAGAGAGAGAAAGAGAGACTCAGAGAGAGAGAGAGACTCAGAGAGAGAGAGAGAGACTCAGAGAGAGAGACACTGAGAGGGCCTGGATCTCTCCCCAGGCTCGTTCAGGTAGCCATAGCGGAGCCGGGTTGGGGAGCACAGGGGTGGGAACGGCTCCCCCAGACAGCAGGAACCTCCACTCGTCCTGCAGAGAGACACACAGAGAGAGAGAGACTCAGAGAGAGACTCAGAGAGAGAGACTCAGAGAGAGAGACACTGAGAGAGAGACACTGAGAGAGAGACTCAGAGAGACACTGAGAGAGACTCAGAGAGAGAGAGACACACAGAGAGACACTGAGAGAGACTCTGAGAGAGCGACAGTGAGAGAGAGACTCAGAGAGACACAGAGAGAGACACTGAGAGAGAGACACTGAGACAGAGACACTGAGAGAGAGAGAAAGACTCAGAGAGAGAGAGACAAAGAGAGAGACTCTGAGAGAGAGACACTGAGAAAGAGAGAGAGACTCAGAGAGACACTGAGACAGAGAGAGAGACACTGAGACAGAGACACTGAGAGAGCCTGGATCTCTCCCCAGGCTCGTTCAGGTAGCCATAGCGGAGCTGGGTTGGGGAGCACAGGGGTGGGAACGGCTCCCCCAGACAGCAGGAACCTCCACTCGTCCTGCAGAGACACACAGAGAGACACTCAGAGAGAGAGAGAGACACTCAGAGACACAGAGAGAGACTCTGAGAGAGAGACACTGAGAAAGAGAGACTCAGAGAGACACTGAGAGAGACTCAGAGAGAGAGAGAGAGAGACACAGAGAGACACTGAGAGAGACACTGAGACAAAGAGAGACACAGAGAGAGACTCTGAGAGAGAGACAGTGAGAGAGAGACTCAGAGAGACACTGAGAGAGACACTGAGAGAGAGACACAGAGACAGAGACACTGAGAGAGCCTGGATCTCTCCCCAGGCTCGTTCAGGTAGCCATAGCGGAGCCGGGTTGGGGAGCACAGGGGTGGGAACGGCTCCCCCAGACAGCAGGAACCTCCACTCGTCCTGCAGAGAGACACACAGAGAGAGAGAGACTCAGAGAGAGAGAGAGACACTCAGAGAGAGACACACAGAGAGAGACTCAGAGAGAGAGACTCAGAGAGAGAGAGAGACACTCAGAGAGAGACACACAGAGAGACACACAGAGAGAGAGACACTCAAGAGAGACTCACAGAGAGAGACTCTGAGAGAGAGAGAGACAGAGAGAGAGAGAGAGAGACACAGAGAGAGACACAGAGACAGAGACACTGAGAGAGCCTGGATCTCTCCCCAGGCTCGTTCAGGTAGCCATAGCGGAGCCGGGTTGGGGAGCACAGGGGTGGGAACGGCTCCGCCAGACAGCAGGAACCTCCACTCGTCCTGTAGAGAGACACAGAGAGAGAGACACAGAGAGACACACACAGAGAGAGACTCAGAGAGACTCAGAGAGAGAGAGAGAGAGAGACTCAGAGAGAGAGAGACACAGAGACACTGAGACACAGAGAGAGAGACACTGAGACAGAGACACTGAGAGAGCCTGGATCTCTCCCCAGGCTCGTTCAGGTAGCCATAGCGGAGCCGGGTTGGGGAGCTCAGGGGTGGGAACGGCTCCCCCAGACAGCAGGAACCTCCACTCGTCCTGCAGAGAGACACACAGAAAGACCCTCAGAGAGACTCAGAGAAAGACTCTGAGAGAGAGAGAGACAGAGAGAGAGAGAGACTCAGAGAGAGACTCAGAGAGAGAGACTCAGAGAGAGACAGACACAGAGAGAGAGAGAGACTCAGAGAGAGAGAGACACAGAGAGACACTGAGACACAGAGAGAGAGACACTGAGACAGAGACACTGAGAGAGCCTGGATCTCTCCCCAGGCTCGTTCAGGTAGCCATAGCAGAGCTGGGTTGGGGAGCACAGGGGTGGGAACGGCTCCCCCAGACAGCAGGAACCTCCACTCGTCCTGCAGAGAGACACACAGAGAGACACTCAGAGAGAGACTCAGAGAGAGAGAGACACTCAGAGACACAGAGAGAGACTCTGAGAGAGAGACACAGAGAGAGAGAGACTCTGAGAGAGAGACACTGAGACAGAGACACTGAGAGGGCCTGGATCTCTCCCCAGGCTCGTTCAGGTAGCCATAGCGGAGCTGGGTTGGGGAGCACAGGGGTGGGAACGGCTCCCCCAGACAGCAGGAACCTCCACTCGTCCTGCAGAGACACACAGAGAGAGACTCAGAGACACTCAGAGAGAGAGAGACTTAGAGAGAGAGAGACACTGAGAGAGAGACTGAGAGACACACTGAGAGAGAGACACTGAGAGAGACTCAGAGAGAGAGACACAGAGAGAGAGAGAGACACTCAGAGATATACACACCACTCACCACCACCACTCACCACCCCAAACCCCACCACTCACCACTCACCACCCTCACCACCACCCCTCACCACTTACCACCCTCACCACCACCCCCACAACCACTCACCACCCTCACCACCACCCCCTCACAACTCACCACCACCCCCACCCCTCACCACTCACCTCACCACTCACCACCCCACCACCACTCACCACCACCTCACAACTCACCACCCTCACCACCTCACCACCACTCACCACTCACCACCCTCACCACCTCACCACTCACCACCCTCACAACCCCCACAACCACTCACCACCACTCACCACTCACCACCCCCACAACCACTCACCACCACCTCACCACTCACCACTCACCACCCCACCACTCACCACTCACCACCACCTCATCACTCAACACTCACCACTCACCCCTCACCACCACTCACCCCGCACAGCCACTCACCACCCCACCACTCACCACCACCTCACCACTCACCACTCACCACCACTCACCACACTCACCACCCCACCACTCAGCCCTCACCACTCACCACCATTCACCACCCCACCACTCACCCCTCACCACTCACCACCATTCACCACCCCACCACTCACCACTCACCACTCACCCCCCTCACCACTCACTACCCCACCACTCACCCCTCACCACTCACCACCATTCACCACCCCACCACTCACCACTCACCCCCCTCACCACTCACCACCCCACCACTCACCCCACCACTCACCCCCCACCACCACTCACCACCCCACCACTCACCACCACTCACCCCACCACTCACCCCCCACCACCACTCACCACCACTCACCCCACCACTCACCCCCCACCACCACTCACCCCACCACTCACCACCCTCACCACCATCCCTCACCACCCCACCACTCACCACCCTCACCACCACTCACCACCACCACTCACCACCCCTCACCACTCACCACTCACCACCACTCACCCCCCACAGCCACTCACCACCCCACCACTCACCACTCACCTCACCACTCACCACCCCACCACTCACCACTCACCTCACCAATCACCACCCCACCACTCACCACCCTCACCACCACCCCTCACCACCACCCCACCACTCACCACCACCCCACCACTCACCACCACAACCACTCACCACCCTCACCACCCCACCACTCACCACTCACCTCACCACTCACCACCCCACCACTCACCACCCTCACCACTCACCACCCCACCACTCACCCCACCACTCACCCCCCACAGCCACTCACCACCCCACCACTCACCACCACTCACCCCACCACTCACCACCCCCACCACCACTCACCACTCACCACCCCACCACTCACCACTCACCACCCTCACCACCACTCACCACCACTCACCACCCTCACCACCACCCCTCACCACTCACCCCCCACAGCCACTCACCACCCCACCACTCACCACTCACCTCACCACTCACCACCCCACCACTCACCACTCACCACCCCCACCACTCACCACCACCCCTCACCACCACCCCACCACTCACCACCACCCCACCACTCACCACCACAACCACTCACCACCCCACCACTCACCACTCACCTCACCACCCTCACCACCACTCACCCCACCACTCACCACCCCTCACCACCACCCCTCACCACTCACCGGGTCCACGCCATCCTCCCCCTCCGTGGCGAGGATCCGCGAGCAGACGAGGAACGAGAAGAGGAGACGGTGGCCCTCAAAGAGGCCGCGGCAGACGCAGCGATACAGAGCCAGGGTGAGGTGAGACACCATGGCTCCCACACGGAGCTCCACCGAGTCTGGGTAGAGAGACAGAGAGACACAGAGAGAGACAGTGAGACAGAGACAGAGAGAGAGACAGTGAGAGAGACAGAGCCAGGGTGAGGTGAGACACCATGGCTCCCACACGGAGCTC